TGTTGTTACCGTCGTTGTTGCTAACCACAATGCATAAAAACAGGCGCTTGTCCATCGTAGTGTGGTTATATAAAATATAAGAGAAAGAGAGAACTTTAAGAAATTATTATAGCCACTACAGTGACCATCAAAACGATGAAAAAATATTGCCGTAAACAGTTTATTTTGCGACACCACGAAACAAACCATAGCGTAAAATGAAACGATAGACGTTTTTATATCGTCATCGATATATATCGTTATATCGAACAGCCCTAGCAGACATTACCAAATATAACAGCACATAGCTATAGGTAATTTAATAAACCACCAGGTCTGTTCAGCTGTTAACAATGCAATCAGAAATATCAGCACTGGAATAAATACTGTGAAAAACAAGAGCATGACAGGCAAACACAAAACAGTAGACCTCGACTCAACACTTGACTGGCGCTAAAAAGCCAAGACTTTGTAGACCTGGACATGGGTATGCATGTCTGATGTGCTTCAGAATACAAAAAATTAACTTTGTCCCAATTCTACATAACACATTCCACTTTTTATTAGCATATTGTCTTTGACTTTAAGCAGTACTATTGACAACTTAATGTACTGAAAGCTTGCAGCAGATGTGTAAACTGAAAAAAAGATCATATAGGATTGTGCATTCCAACATGTCATATTGTTGTGAAGATTTTAATATTTTTGTGAATTAAAATTCAAAAAGGATCCCTACTTTAAGGATCTATTAACATCCCTGGCTAACAGTAAAAAAAACGTTTGGGAGCTCTAGACTAAACAGTCAAACATGATTTTTGCAATATTTTATTATAGAGCCCTCATATACACAGGAAAGGGAAGGCAAAGATTACAAATTCCAGGGTCAATGATTTCAGGAGAACTCCTCCTTAAACAAAATCATTGTTTAACTCTTTCAATAGAAAGTCTGTTCCAGTGCCTAAACAAAACACATGATTATTAGAGCACCCTCACAAGCACCACAGAGATTTCTGCTGCAACCTCCAAACAGTCGGTAATGCAGCCTTATTATCTTCTGAGATTTGTTCACCACCATAAGTGCAAATACTTAAAACTCTCTTCACACACAGTCTTTGCCATCTCCTGAGCTACACTCACAGTCACATCAGCCCAAGTGCTGGTGTGCAGTTTCAGGGCTTTTTTATTTTTCTAATTCAGCAGTTTTCAGAGAAATGCTGTGCAGCTAAAACTGAAGTGAAGCTTTTTCGATTGCTCGGAGGATTTACCTGTACTCGTGACTGTCCTGGAATCTTGTGCTGTTGGCAACTCGTTGCTGTGCCGTCTCCATCAGCAGCTTCTGAGTCAGACGGCTGCTTGGCGTGGGGTCACACTCAGGCAGCTCCTCTGGTCCTTGGTCGCATCTCCATTCCTCATACTCCTTTAAAGGTGGTAAATAGCTCGATAGCCCCTTTCCATTGCCAGAAACCGAGCTCTGGTCACTGTACAACTTTGGGCTTTCACCTCCTGTCCGTGTGTATTCCAAATATAGGTCAGATTTAAGGAATAATGGATAGGTATTTTCCTCCATCATAGTCTGTATTTCAGTCTGAGCCTGATCAAACATGGCAGGATCAATGTGAAGCTTCATCACACAGTCTCTGATGAAGGACTTTGTAGCTGGTTTGATCTGTCTAGAGACAATCCCATTGTTGTCCAGGATGTATTTTTTATATATCAGCTTTGCCAGTTTCACCTTCTTCTCCTCAGTAACCTCACTGGCTTCAAGTTTCCGAAAACCACTGCAGGCAAACCAGAAGTCCAACATATCTGCACATTCCTCTTGCTTGAGGAACGTCCTAAACAGCAGGATGCCATCCTGGTCATCCAGGAGAGAATGAAGAGATTCCGCCCACTTTAAGTAGGGTGGTGTTGGCGAAGCGCTGCCCTCCGGCTCGTAGCCCAGGTCCAAGTCAGATCGCCTGGGTGTAGCCACAGACGGCTCACATTTGAGGCTCTCATTCTTCGAGGAGAAGCCGAGGTTGCTGTGCTGGCGACCATCGCTGCATATGAGCTCTCCTTCTTCACCGGGGACAGGAGGTCTGGGAGCATCCTCAGTGAAGCTGCCTCCTAGGTCTGCTAAGTAGCCCCGTTTGTCGCTTATGCTCATAGTCCCAGCATCCATATACCACGTCCCCGTAGAGCCCACACTGCACAACTATTCGATCCAGAGTTCTACTTATGCCACTGCAAAAGAACTCCTGCAAGGAGGGAAATTTATAATGAGATGCAGCTTCAACACGTCATAGAAAGGCAGTCTTTTGCTACTCAGTGACAGGGCACTAACAATGTAACATTGCTCTGAGGTTTTTACAATACAATTTATTCCACACTGAGAAATTCACAATCAGTAGAATACCAATGTGGTTTTTGGGCTTTTTTTTGTTTTGTTTTGCCGGATTTTTTTCTGTTTAAGCTTTTGAAAACTACTCTAAAGCCCTAAAGCACATTGATCTCACATTTGAATCACGTCCAATAACACAGCCACAGTAATAATCAGTACAGCGGTACTTTATAATCATAAAAGCATAAAGTGAAAGAAAAGCATTCATGCGCTGGGATCAGATATTCGACATACAATCTGCAAACCTGAGCAGAAATCGAAATCTACAGCTATTAGGCCTTTAATATGCGCCGAAAGTCTAGAGGCGTATTTTTACTAGACAGCAGTATGAATACAGTGTAGCAAATGCATATCATTAGTTCACACATCTATTCCAGTTTCATTCAAATTAGTATTGGAAGGGTGAAAATTCACTTGGGGTTTACAAAATTAAATTGATAATGAAGCAGCCCAAGTCCATTTCCCAATAGCTGACATAGGAGTACTGCAAATGACACATTCTACATCCTTATGCCATATTCACGTTTTATATGATACCCCCTGGTGTTAGGGAAGGACCTGGGATGGTGTATCAAATGATTTTAGGGATCAAGGACACATCTTAGTCTTTGTGTAATAACCAAGTGTGCTGCTTTTTTGCTGAGGAACGACACCGTAGAGCCCGGATCTCCACCTCTACGCAGTACGGACTGCTTAGCTTATGGCTAAGCTTCCCAGATACTGTGTCAGGATTCAATTTAAGGTCTAATGCAGCCACAGCTGACCCTTTAAATTCACATATCCACAGCAGAAGCCACTACTTCTTGACAGCTGCAAGCAGATCCAAATCACGGGTAGAGAAGCTGAACGCAAATAGCCCTGACTTCAGCCTAAATCACTTCCCAATCGAAATCCCAGTGCAGCCTACTTGTTGACTAATAGGATTAAATATAAATGTTGCCAAATTATGATTTCAGAACAAATGACAGGTGGGTTTACTCTAGCAAGATCACCCTACCCTTTAGGGCACACCCACTCTCTTGTCTGGTTCAGTACTGATACAAATCTTTTCTTTCTGATTGAACAAAGGCTGTATGAAGACAAAACTGGCAGCAGCGGCTCTGCTCGCTGCAGAGCCCTGGAGTGTGAGCAGCACGTGCACTGTGCATCAGGCCAGATGTGCTGGAATGAAAATGAGCCCTCCCCTCCAAAAAAAAAAAAACGAGCGTTTCAGGCCTATTAACGATGCTGGTAGGAATAAATCACCCGGGCAAACTGCTGCTACCTGTAAAGACGATGCATCCGCGTATTAATATATAAATGAACGCTTCTGTGCTCTCAGGTGTGCGGCTCCGGCGGAGGTATATTTAGAAGGGATTCCATACAATTTCCGCCGGTCAGAGTCGAGTTAAAACAGGGGGGGAAAATGACCCTTTTTTCAGAAACCGTGTCAGTTGGGTTGTTCCTTTGAAGTGAGCCTCTCATCACATCCATGTCTTGGCCTCTCCAGAATGAGCAGAACGACAGCGAGTGGGGGAGGGGAGCCAGAAACAAACTCCACACACACACACACACACACACATAGAGGGAGAGAGCGAGCCAGGCCTATCAGCAGCCGACCGACAAGTGCACAACTTTGTCACACTAATAATATCTGTGGTGTACCCGCTAACAGCTGCTAAACTAAACACACAGCATAAGCACCCGTAAACATTTCCCCTACCGTCAGAGGACACAGAGGGAATCCCAGCAACCATTTCCGAACACATTTACAATCAGCAAAGCAAAGCGATGGTATATTTCCCCCCCGATTACCGCAATCCCAATCTCTGAGCAAGGGGGGAGCCATTAAAAAAAGTGACATATACTTAACCGGTGAGAATCTTTCTGCTTGCGAGTGCATCGGGCTATCGGACCGACACGAGTCCCAGCCGACAGTGTCATTGTTGCGAATTGCAAGAGTTTAAAAATAACAAAGAAAGCAGTCCGCTCTCCGCCTCTCCATGGCTGTCTCTCACTGTCTGTATGGAGCTGAGGCTACAGGAGATGATGCACAGCGCCTCGCCCGTTCACTTCACAAACTGCCGGTGTTAAGCTTCGGTACATGTGGTACACCGATTTTTCCTCTCCACCCGCCTCCTCCTCCCCTCTCTCTCTCTTTCAAGTGGTGAAATACATGAAAATTCATGCATAATTCACAGAAATACGACATAACAATACATTCAAAAAGTCAACCTAAAATAAAACCGCAGTGCAATACGACTGATTAACTGCTACATACATCAGCATCACTGTGCACATTAAGCTGAAAAGCCTTTTTTGTTGTTGTTCACATCAGATCTACAGCCAGTATGATAACCTGTGATGTCAGCGTTGCCCTGATTTTTAATCCCTGGTATATATAAAGATTCAAAAATGCTCAAATGTTTACCTTAGTGGATTTGAGGAGCCTTATTTTGTCAGAGTGTGTCTTGCCAGGCAGAAACCATGACACAGACTCAGAATGTATCCACAAAAGACACTAAATAACTTCTTCAGGGAATGAGTAACACTTATCAGCAAGAGTAGATTACACTTCAGAGCAGGTTGGGCAACCACTTGTTTCGGAGTCACAGAGTCTGCAGGTTTCATTCCAACCACAGACTGCACCAGATGACTTTACTGATTACTCTACAAGAGCCGCTTTGATCAGTTAAAATCAGCAAGGGTTTACTCTTCCTGTTATGTGCTGCATTCAGGCGGCCTTTATCATAAACCTTTACCACCAGGAAGTTTCGCTAGAACATCTGATAAAGCAGACATCAAACGTACCGGTACATAACACATAATGATGAGGCCATCAGCTAAACTTTAACATACAGTGTGAAAACAATGAATCTGGCTGGCCTCATTATTCATGACACAAAAAAATATGATACATTTTCTGTGTAAATGCAATTTTTGCAAGTATTTTTAAAGCAACTGGGATAAAGAGATCTTGTCCGAGTGTCTTTATGAAGAAAACTGAAATGCACGAATTAACAAATATAATAAGCAGTTTACAATAGCCAATGTGCAGCTGCTGACTGATTGTGTCATTTGAATTCCTCAGCTGTCACACTGTTTTACTGAGCCTAAGATGTAAAGCTAGTGGGACACTATAATAACATATTGTTTTTGATTAGTAAGTAATTACATGAAATCATTAAAAAAAAAAAAAACTAGAGTAGGATAACAGGATACAGGTGTATACAACAAGAACACAAACATTTCACACTTTGTCTCAACGTATCACTCCAAACACCGGCTCAAACCTGGAAACCTTTCAAGTGTGAACTGTAGTTCTTACAATATTTATGCGGGCAACATAAAACATGAAAAAGGCCCAATGCACTGCAGCCTCCTCGAGGCAAAATTGATTTTGCGCAGAAGCAGTTTAAGCATTTTAAGTACCCTGACAGTTCTCTCTTTATAGCATGAGTTACTCTGTGTTATTGTTGTTTCTTCCAAAAGCAAATCAGAATAATTTCAGCACTGTCAATTTTTAAACTGGTACTTTCTTTGAGTGAAACAAAAATAATTTGGTCCTCTAGTCACATATGTAGATCTGTAGTTTAAATCTTGATGTTTTTATGGATTCATTCTTAGCTTTTAACAATCAAACAGGTAGTGTTGTGAAGAACAGCTTCTTACGAGCTACAAGTGCTAATACAAATAGTTATCCAAACCTTTATCTCCCCTCAGCTGCTTAACTGTAAATCCCTGCACATATTCGTGACATATCGATATCAGAATTTGTAATGGCCGAAGAATATAAGATGGGAGATGTTGCATAGTCTGTCAGCCAGGGGGCATTGTGTAACTTCCCAGTTGGCAACACTTGTTTGGAATATCCCAATCATAACAACCAGTTTGTCCGAGCAGAGTCGGGCAGAGTGTAAACAGAGTGTACACAAGTAATCCATGACTTGCTGTGACAATAATCAATCATTGTCATGTTATCTAAATAAGGACTCGTAAATAACTACTCCTACCAAATGACAGGCAAATCTGTTTATGTTTGAAAGAAAAAAATGGCTGATTATATTTGTAAATGACCATATATCAGTATTAACCTTAAAAATCTTGCATTGGCCATGCTATAGTATTATAGTTATAGTATTATAAGACAACACATCACTTTTGTTTTTACTCACTGGCCAGCTGTGAAATAAGGAACTGATTTTAAACATTTTAATTGTTAAAGCCCTTCATGAATCAGCTGCACAAAAATATTACAGGTTTTTTAATTCCATATTTTCCTCCTTAAGGTCATCCCAACAATTTCTTTTCGTCTTGTCTATAATCTAAAGGCAACCATTCTCTGCTACCAGACTCTGGAATCGTCCCACATAAGAACATATTTATGTGCTTATTTTAATTGACAAATTAATCATTTTATCCTAGGGTTTGCATATCATTTTTTAATTTATTGTATATTTTATTTGTTTTTTTATTGTTATCACGTTGCCTTGGTATGGGTTCTTGCGTTTTGTACCTGCTTTTGGAGACTTGAGAGTATACTATGAAGCAAGATTAGCAATTAGCTCGCAAACAAGGTTAGCGAGCTATGATGAGTTTAAAGTCAGAGTTTTACATGAGCAACTTGCTAAGGCGTACATTACTAAAGCTATTTTAATATCCCCTTTAGTGGGCTACTTGGAATAGTAACATGTGATGTTACTTGTATCTAATCTAAAGTTTCCAAGCTCCAATTAAAAATCCAATTAAAAACAACCAGCAGCACCAAGAGTGCAATCAGCTTTAAAATAAATACATGAACTCCAGTCAAAATCTTTATTTTAACACTCTTGTTGCAGTATTACTCTCTTTGCTTATTTCCAGTAGTCTTGTACTTTTTGTCAGATTTTTTTGAATCATCATGACCTGATAATGTCTACGATTGGAATCATTGTGTGAAAAAGAAAAGTCATATGGCGAGTGAAACGCCTCCTTTTATGTCAGGACACACAAAGCCTGAACCGGAAAACCAAGTTTAACAGAGAAAGTTGAAAGATACCCCTTATCACTGACTGAGAGTTTCAGGTTTAGTCAAGCCAGCTGGCACAAAGGAAGTGTTGCTATGTCAAACTTCTTTTGTAGTATACTCCTTTGTAGTGTTAACTGGAAATTAAATGGGTTCTCTTAAATTTTCTCCTCCAAGGGTCAACAGGTTCTGGGTCTACATGTTTATATTTGGTGAACGCACAGATGGAGAAAAGGCAAATCTGCAAGCAAATCCACCTGCATTACCTTGAGTTTGATTGACTTCCTCACGCATCCTCCAGTAGTGCATCCTTTTATTGAAGATTCCATTGTATTGTTACTCAACACACATTTCTTCTGTAAAGGTAAAGCCCTTTTCACCCCCGTGAAATGGAAAGTCCTGGCTGAAGCAGAATGTCGCCATAACGGTTTGCCATTGCCATCCATTTGCTTCTGAAAAGAAAGAAATATTGGTTAAGACTCGTTCCTACATAACTGAAAAAATGTAGGAGTTCAACATTATGGAACAGTTACATTTTCATTTGAAGATGTTTCTGCTGCAATATATCTGAAACCAAAACCATTACTGATCTATATTCGAAATATTCTTGAAAAAACAAAGCTAAAGCTCCTAACACTGGGGTAGGGTGGCCTCATGCCCAACACAATGACCCAGTCCAGTACACCGATAGTTTAAAATTGTAAAAAACTATAAAATTGTAGGGTCTTTACTTTAGATTATAGAGTGCCTTGAGGTGTTGTGATTTGGTGCCCTATAAATAAAACTGAATTGAATCAACTTTTTACAGTTTAATGATTGGAGAGAAGAGTCATTCAATCCCTCCTGAGATAATTTGAGATCTGTTTTCTTAGTCACCACCCAAGTAGGATCTGTTGCACTACAAAAACCACTGACACAAGTTGACACTGAGGAAAGTACAGGAGTAGGTCAAAGAATCAAGAAGCAGGCAAACCATGCACAAAATAGCATCCTCTCGGATAGCCATAGCCCTGCTGCCACCTTTAGTTCAAAGATGAATAACAATCTCACTGTAAATAAATCTCTCCGTTTGTACAAACTCCTCTTGTACAATCAGGAGTTGTGCATCCAAAACTGGCACACAGATACCTCTTGAGCATCTAAAGGTTCTTATCTATATCACATGTAATGATGTCGTCACATTGTCTTGCAACTTTGCAACAGGCTAAGATGATATGATGACAGCATTACATCTGATATGGATAAGAACCTTCAGATGTGCCAGTTTTGGTTGCACAACTCCTGATTGTACAGGAGGTGTCTGTGAGTAATCAGAGAGAGATTTCTCATATTACAGTTAAAGTAAATAAGAGCAGGTTAAAGTCCCCAAAATTAACAGATTTGATGGTTCCCAGAAGTCAGTTATCTGCTTTTAACTTCAGCAATTAACAAGAAATAAAATGTGCCTTTTTGCATAGAATTGTCCCTAAAAAATAAGTGTGCTTTATCATAAAAGACAAATTCACACTTTGACCTCTTTTGGCATGCTGTCCAAAACATAACACCACAAACTGTAAATAACTGCAACAGTGAAAAGGTTCAAGAAGTCCTGTAACCAGAAGGCTTTTCAAACTGGACCTCTTTGATAGTTTGAAACAGCTGGGTGTGAAATTTGTACGAAAAAAAAATGCTCTTCCCTTTCTTTTTAACTACAAATAAATAGCCCTCAAGCAACTGGCCCAGCCAAGCTCCTTAGTGCACAGAGGAACAATAGAAGAGGCATCTCTGTGCCTAACTCTGAAGTGTGAACAAGTTTTCACTAAAATCAGCAAACCTTTTGTAAAACAAGCACTTTGTGTCAGAATTGTTATGGAAACACACTTGTATAAAACCTTTAAGGAGAAGATTTTACATTTTATTCTTAATACCTTTATACATGCACCCATCCTTCATACTAAATTCTAAAAATGCATATTCACTATTCTGTACTTTGCAGGGGGGATTTTTTTTTCACAACTCTACAAAGCTACCTTTTAAAAATTGTTCTCATATTTTAAAATATTCTCAAATTACTGCT